GTATCTAATTTCAATGGTAATTAAATTAAATACTTTTTGAGCAGTTAGTACCTTCACATGGCTTCAAATTCAAAGGGTACAAAAAGATACAGTGAAAAGTTTCCCCCCATCCTTGTTTTCAAGGCCCTCAGTTCCTTCCCCCAGTAGCACCCAGTGTTACCAGATACTTAGGTATCCTTCCAGAGACATTTCATAACATATATACAAGCAAATACACACACACACACACACACACACACACACACACACACACACACAAACTGAGTATATATTCTGCCTCCTTCCCCTAGTTTTTATACAGAAGATAGCACTAGAGTGCTGGAGTTTAATAGCTGCTCTTCTGTATACTCAAGAATACCGGTTCTTCACTTAACAGTATTCCTTGAATTTTTTTTTGCTATTAGAATAGAACTTCTTCATTCTTTTTTGTATGGCTGAGCAGCGTATCTTATTGTAAGAATATACATTATTTTTTAAGCCAGTCTCTTATTGGAGGACATCTGGGTGGTTCCCAATTTTTTCTATTAAAAAGAATCCTGAAATGAATATCCTTGTACATATGCCATTTTGCATCTGTATAAGTCTAGATATAAGATAATTTACCAGAAGTGAAATTAATGGCTCAAAGGATATATGCATTTATAGTTTTGATATTGCCAAATTGCTCTCCCTTCAGCTAGTGCCAATTTGTATTCCCTCCAGGAATTGAGCACCTGCTTTCCCAAACACAGTGTGTTGTCAATCTAATGTGTTAAAAATGACAATTACATGCAGTTTTAATTCACATTTCTTTACCTATGAGTGAGGCTGGGCATATCATTATGTCTACAAGCCATTTATATATTTTTTTCCTCTAAAGTTTTTGTTCATATCCTAGGTTCATAATTCTACTGGGTCACTGGTCTTTTTGCCATGTCTTAACATTGCTTATGATATTTTTCAGTTTTCATTAACAATAAACTTCTGAATTTAAAACCTCTAACATATTCATCTAACTACTTAGCTTACCCTAGGCACAGCATCAAAGAGGCTTTTAGATAATAACAGGAAATTTTATATTACCTCATCCTGGGGAATGACAACTTGAACAAGCCCATGGAAATCTCTTAGGACCAAGAATGTGTTTTGCCTGATTAATGGGAGGGGGAAGAAAAAGGAACATTTTAAGATAAAATCTCTAAGTCCAAAGTTTAAGCAGACAAAATAAAAAACAAAAATCCATGCAATTTTTCATGTTTCTTTTTTATGATAATTATGTATTTTCTTTACATTCATGCAGTTGTTATCTATGTAGCTCATTGATGAAAAAATATTGTTTTTTATTTCAGTTTCAATTTTTATTGTTTACTTATCTGAAAATTAATCTTATACAGATGGCTTATTAATGAAAAATTATTATAGATGAACAATTAAAAAAATTTTTATTGGCTTAAGTCCTTATAAGAAAATTTTATTAAATTTGGAAACTTTGCACATAGTAAAATCCAAAGATAATATTTTAGCATAATGGAAACATCTGATGGATCATTTTTGAAATACAGCAATATAAAGTCTTTTTCTAAAAAAAGATACAATCTAAAATTTTCTGGAAGAGTTCCAACTACTAATTTAATACCTCTATGAATCATCAAAAGGTCCTAGAAATGCCAACCTCTATTTCTCATAGTGTCCTCAGCACCAGGAACAGGTACAGAAACCCTCTTCAGATTTGGGTTCAGGAAACAAAGTCACTACACTTACGGGAAAACTATCCACCTACTTGGGACAAACTCCTTTTTTTTTTTTTTTTTTTTTACCTGAGACGGAGTCTTGTTCTGTCGCCCAGGCTGGAGTGCAGTGGCACGATCTCAGCTCACTGCAACCTCTGCTTCCTGGGTTCAAGCAATTCTCCTGCCTCAGCCTCCTGAGTAGCTAGGATTACAGACGTGCGCCACCCCGCCTGGCTAATTTTTTTGTGTTTTTAGTAGAGATGGGGTTTCATCATGTTGGCCGGGCTGGTCTCGAACTCCTAGCCTCGTGATCCGCCCGCCTCGGCCTCCCAAAGTGCTGGGATTACAGGCTTAGGCGCCAGGCTGGGACATATTCTTTAAGAAGGTCATTGGCCGGGCGCGGTGGCTCAAGCCTGTAATCCCAGCACTTTGGGAGGCCGAGACGGGCAGATCACGAGGTCAGGAAATCGAGACCATCCTGGCTAACACGGTGAAACCCCGTCTCTACTAAAAAATACAAAAAACTAGCCGGGCGAGCTGGCGGGCGCCTGTAGTCCCAGCTACTCGGGAGGCTGAGGCAGGAGAATGGCGTAAACCCGGGAGGTGGAGCTTGCAGTGAGCTGAGATCCGGCCACTGCACTCCAGCCTGGGCGACAGAGCTAGACTCCATCTCAAAAAAAAAAAAAAAAAAAAAGAAGGTCATATAACCTATGTATTTTGGATCTCTTCCATGTGAATTAATGTACTATTCAGGAATGTTCTGGAATAGAGAGATGAACAACAACAACAACAAAAAATGGGCTCTGATCTTAAAGAATCACTGTTTCTGGGCTTGTTCTCTACCTAAATGGAATAAAACGAGCTTTCTCCCCCATGCTATTGGAGTTTAACAGCTGGTTTATAGGAGACTGGCCCATTTTTAATTACTGGTCATAGGAACTCTTCAGTCTTAGTAAGCCCAGTATCATTTCAGTCCATTTGGTGGATCAAGCTTCATTGTTATACCCTTCAACAGATGTTACTGGTACCTACTGAGAATGACACTTAGGCCTTTCAAAACAAAGTTGAAAATTCAGTAAATTCTTAAACCTGCAGGAGTTGCAAAACGTTTTATTCTTCGGACTGGTTGTAAATTAGTAAAGGTTTAGAATTGCCCTGGGAAAACCACCACCATGCATTCTTAGACTGTCTTCCTCAATTTACCTTCGGTACTGAATCCATCCACACAAGGTGACTTCTTGGCCTAAGTGAGACGAACGCAACTCTCCACATGTGTTGGTCCGGACAGCAAAGCTACTGAATTCTTTTTTTTTTTTTAAAAAAGAAAAGAAACTTTAAAAGGCAAGATTAAAAATACATCACTTGCAGGTTGCTTAACAATAAAAATTCTCAAAATACATCTTAGTTATGTCAGGGAAACAGGTCATTCACTATTAAATTTACCTGCAAATGTGTCAAAAGCCAAGTGAATAACCGTACATTTCTGTCTTGTGTTAGGAAATCAAAATTTTTTTGATCTTCTAGTATTTGCATTTACCTAAAATCCTAATTACCCAATTCTTAATACTGCACATTTCTTCCCCAAATGAAATAGGATTTTAGAAACTGTAGAAATGGATGGTGCAGGAACTATTTAGTTTTAATATGAATCTACTGTTTAACAGCCACTTGTACACTAGAAAACACTATTATATTCTGTGAAAAATGATTTTTTTTTTTCTTTTTTTTTGAGACGGAGTCTCGCTTTGTCGCCCAGGCTGGAGTGCAGTGGCGCGATCTCAGTTCACTGCAAGCTCCGCCTCCCGGGTTCACGCCATTCTCCTTCCTCTGCCTCCCCAGTAGCTGGGACTACAGGCGCCCGCCACCATGCCCGGCTAATGGTTTGTTGTTTTTTTTTTTTTGGTATTATTAGTAGAGACAGGTTTCACTGTGTTAGCCAGGATGGTCTCGATCTCCTGACCTCATGATCCGCCCGCCTCGGCCTCCCAAAGTGCTGGGATTACAGGCGTGAACCACTGCGCCCGGCCGAAAAAGGATTTTTTAAGGTATCAACCAAAAGCAGAGTATTCTCTATATTACGTGGTTACCTTTTTGTGGTCTTTCTAAAAACTCAGGGAAAAAATCTGCCTTACAATGAATGAAAAGAGTGAATGATCTGCTTCTACACATAAGGCTATCCAGTTAAGAATGGGGGAAAATATGGAATAAAAGCTCTCTGGTCGTAGATAACAGGTTGAAGTACTGTTCACAGGACAGATCTCTTCGCTATTTTCACCTGGATTTCTCCTCTGTGAACTCTGCACCAGACTTCTGTAGAGAGAACCCCAGATCGGTTGGGTGGTTCTTCGGATGGGTCTGGATAAACCCCTGCACAGCTGACTTAACCAAGAAGGGAAGGTCATGTTGGAGCCACACGATGGCGAAAAACAATCACGAATCCCACGCTGCCGGTAGTTAAAAGTCAGCTTTGGAAATACACAGAAATCTCTTAAAATTCCAGGAGTTCCCACTCTCTTCTCGAATATTTAAGTCCTCCGCACAACATTCGAGTACACGTGTCTGGAAACAAGACAAATCTCTAAGGTCTCTGGGGTGCTTGATGGGGTGGAGATGAGGGAAAGACCTTTCCCCGAGTCTTAAAGCATCAGTCTGCACTTCTACTCAACAAGTCTGCAACCAAAAGTGACGAAAAGAGAGCGACTCCACGCAGCGGCGCCAGCCGCGAGCCCGACAACCAGAGGCGGTCCCTAGGCATACGCCCTACCCTTCTTTCCACGCTTCCCGAGAGGCTCCCGCGGCCAGAACCGGAAAACAAGGAGTAACAGTCGCGTTTCAAATCTCGCAGACCTGCTGGCCGATCTCGAGTCTTCTGAAAGAGGAAGGCGAGCAAAGCCAAAATCCTCCCAGAGTCCGAACCCAAACACAGATCGACGTGGGGGTCCAAGCACCCTTCAACTCCGCCCTCTAGTGCCCAAGATTACGAGGAAAGAATTCAACGAATCAGTGGTGAGGTGCCGCCGCCATGCTTACTACGGGCGGAAATTTGAGAGAAAGCTTCCCACCGGTAGGGAAACGGACGAGCAACCGAGCACGGTTGGAAAGGTTGACGATAGCGGTTAAGTGGCTCGGCCTTGCCCTCAGTTAAAATGGCAATTTTAGTTGCTTCACTGATACGGAATCGGCGAGGCGCTAAGGAGGCTTCCTGCGTGGAGCCGCAGAGCGAGTCGGGAAACGATTTTAAACTGAAGAGGCGGCGGCGGACCGAATTGCCTTTTCACAGCGGCGTGATTTCAGAGCTGGGCTGGTCTCTGACAGGCTCAGCTGAAGAGGGACGGGTTGGGACGCACTGTCCTTTTGCCCTTCCCCCTTCGCCAGCAGAAGCTGACTCGGCAGGAGCGAGGGTCGCAGAGCTGGGTGAGCGGAAATGTCCCTCCCAGAGTGAAGTCGCAGGGCCCGCCCCGCGTCTGAGGGAGTGGAGGTCTTCCTGGGTGCGTTTGTGTCTCTTGTGAACCCACTTGTGGTGGAGCGAGAGGGAATTTGGGAGGGCCAGGGGTTAGTCTGACCTCTCTCTTAACTGTCATTTTGGCGGTTTTTTTTTTTCTTTCTTTCTTTCTTCAGGGGATTTCAGTCTCGACATAGTTTTGGAGCCGGACTTTTGAAGAATGATTGATGAATCCGGAATGGGTGACAGCGTCATGACGGCATTTTATTGGTAAAAATGCTTTGTATTGGTTCCGGACCTGCTTTAACTTTGTATTTGCCCTGCTCTGTGGTCATTATCTTCACAATACTTGTGTGTTGAGGTGTGTTTAAGCACTACGTGCATAGTACCCGACTAAGTATTGGCATTAGGGCGGTTGGATTTAGGTATTGGTGGCAATGTAGAAAAGTGATCAAGTCAGAGCCCCTTCACGGACTAACCACTAGAGAAACAACAAAGCTTTACTTGTGTGCTGTGAACTACAACTGCAAGTGGAATTGTCAAGAGAACTAGCTCTGCCAAGCTCTGGAAAACTTCTGAGGAGATGGCACATGGAAAATGGATAACATTTGCTCAGACAAACGGGAGTAGAGAAGTATTTTTAATTGTCGATAAGGTGAATAAAAAGGCAGGGAGAATAGTAGAGTGATCATCTCTCTAGAGTAGGGGGTGCATGTGTGGCTATACGGCTGTGATTTAACCTTTTAAAGAATTGTCTACTGGAACTTTCTTCACTCCCACCTCCCCTCATCCCCCAATGTTGTATACAAAACCTTAGAGGAAGTGTATGTAGAATGTTGGATTTTGGAAAGGCTACTTAGGGTAAGAACTGAAGTAGTAGAAAATGAACCTGGATAGGATCAGATAATAAGATCAAATACAGTAGTGCCTTGAAAACCAGACAGGAATTCTGATTCGACTTCATATAGCTGTATGGGAACTGTTATGGGATCTCAAGCAAGGTAATGATAAAAGTGGTGACAATGAAAGACATGATGGATTAGGGAAAGGGGCTAAGATTGGGAACAAGATAAGTACCTATAATTGAGAATGAGAGTGAAGCCCACATCTAAGAGGACAAGTGTATATCTTTTTAAGAAATATGTCAGAGGCCAAGTGTGGTGGCTTATGCCTGTAATCCCAGCGCTTTGGGAGGCCAAGGCAGGCAGATCATCTGAGGTCAGGAGTTCAAGACCAGCCTGGCTAACATGGTGAAACCCCATCTCTACCAAAAAATACAAAAATTAGCCAGGCATGGTGGTGCACGCCTGTAGTCCCAGCTACTTGGAGGCTGAGGCAGGAGAATCACTTGAACCTGGGAGTTGGAGGTTGCAGTGAGCCAAGATCGCACCACTGCACTGCAGCCTGGGAGACAGAGTGAGACTCTGTCTTAAAAAAAAAAAAAAAGAAATATGTCAGAATTTGATGATAAAGTTAACAAAGTAACAAAGTTAACTTTTTAGATGTAAAGGTGATGTTGAAGGAAGAGTAAAAGATGATGAAAGTATTTTTTTAGTGGGGAAAGAAAACGGAAGAATGGAATTATTACTGAGCAAAACAGAGTACAGTAGTTGGCAAAGAAAGATTGAATGAGATGTGAAGAGATGATTAGTTTTGAACTTAATGAGTCTGACAACATGAAAGTTTAACATCTTATAGGAAGTTGGAAATGCAGGACTGGGTTGCAGCTGTAATGGTCTGAAGGTAGAGATTTAGGAGTTATAGAAAATGATTATTTTCCTATGTAGAATGAATGATTTTCAGAGTCTGGGGCCACCTATTATTGGAACATGAGGGGAAAAAAGAATCAGTAAAGAAATTGGAACTATAAAAAGTAAGGAGGAGAAAAGCCCCTAAAAAATGGAGTGTCAGGAAACAAGGTCCCAGAAAGTTTAGAGGAGGAAGGATGAACAAACTTGATGAACAAAGTATTTGGCCATGGTTTTGGCAAAAATATTAATCTTCAAAAGTGCAGTTTCTTTATAGTGATAGATGGAAAAAAGAGATTGCTGAAGATTTCTAGTAAAATATTTAATAGTAACTGGAGGCAATAGGTGTAGACCACATTTCCAGGAGATTGGTCTCAGAAGGAATGAGAGGAATTGGATTTAAACACAAATTTTTAATGTTAGAAATACTAGAATATGCTTGGCAATGAAAGAAAAGGATCCTGTATAGGAGTGATTAAAGATAATAGAGAAGTGAAGTACAGCCTGGTGTGGCAGTGCATGCCTGTAGTCCCAGCTACTCAAGAGGCTGAGGTAGGAGGATCGCTTGAGCCCAGGAGGTTGAGGCTGCAGTGGTATCGGGCCACTGCACTCCAGCCTGGACAACAGAGTGAGACCCTGTCTCAAAAAAAAAAAAAAAAAATTGAAGTACACAAAGGAGATGGTGTCTAGGGGAGATAGAAGTAAGAGGACCTTTTTGCTTCTGATTGGAAGGAAGAGTATTGGGACAGTAATATATTGATCAAGGTATATTTATAACATCTTGATTATTGTGCTGGGCAAAATTACACATTCTTGAGTGTGAGATGAGAAGGTAAAGTAAAAATAACTCATTTGCTAATCTTTAATTCATGGATTGGGCTATTTTATTTTACTTTAACATTAAATACTCAACGGACATATTTTTTCAAAACCATCCCTCTTAGTGCTGATAAGTGTTTTTCTCATCTCATTTATTGCTAGACTTTTTAAAGTCACCTAGACTTTAAAATCTTTTTGGAATTCATAGCATTTCTCTTTTAAGGAGTCAAATTCAGCAGGGCTTATATTGCCTCATAATTGATCCCTGTTTAAAAGGCAACGTGAAAGAAGTAGCTAAGTGCACTCATTGCAGAGTTAGACTGTCTGGATTCAAATCCTAACTCTTCCACTCTAACTGGCTGACTTTGGTAAGTTACTTAACTTGTCTGATTTCCTGTTTGTCAGCTGGGAGCATGATCTACTTCATGGGGTTGTTTGAAGATTAAATGAGAAAATATAAAGGGCTTACTAAGTACCTGAAACGTGATGAATGCTCAATAAGTGTTAGCAATTATTGCACCAAGTAACAAATTTGAAGGAAACATTCTGTGTAAGTAGTACTGATTAAAATTCCCTTTGAAATAGGTAATTCAATGTGCATGTAAAGCTAGGATGCTTTAGAGTAGCTGCTATTTAAATTGTGTGGTGTCTAATGTAGACTCCTGTATTCACCACAGTGAAGATACAGTTCCATCACCACAAGGAATTCTTGTGTTGCCTCTTTATAGTCACATTTATGTCCCTCCCACCCTCTTCCCTTTCCCTAATCTCTGTCAGCCATTCATCTGTTCTTCATTCCTTTAATTTGTCATTTTAAAAATGTTAAATGTATGAAATTTTATATGTGACCTTTTTGGATTGGCTTTAACATCCAAGTTGTTGCATGTATCAATAATTTGTTTCTTTTCATTGCAGAGTACTATTACATGGTGTGGATGTACCACAGTTTATTTAATCATTCACCCACTGAGTCATTTTCAATTTTTGGCTATTATGAATAAAGCTAATATGAACATTTGTAAAAATAAATAAATAAATTGTGTGGTATATGAACTTGCTCTGGACATTATTTGAGCTTTAAGGACAAATAATGCTACATGTTTAGTTTATGTATTTATTTATTAATTAGAGAGGATCTCACTCTGTTGCCCAGGCTAAAGTGCAGTGGTGCGATCATCGCGCATTACAGCCTTAAACTCCTGGACTCAAGCAGTCCTCCTGCCTCAGCCTCTCAAGTGGCTAGGACTACCACCATGCTAGGCTAATTTTTTTCTTTTTTTTTTTTGAGAGATGGGGTCTTGCTATGTTGTCCATGCTAGGACTACAGGTTTAATTTATGGAGTTTTGTGCAAGATATAAATGGTGTCCTAGTCTAATATATTGAAATTGAAGATACAGGTTGAGCATCCCTAATTAGAAAATCTGAAGTCTGAAATGTCCCATAATGTGAATCTTTTTGAGTACTGACATGATGTTGGAAGGAAATGTTCACTGGAGCATTTTGGATTTCAGATTTTTGGATTAAGGATGCTTGACCAGTGTGATACAAATATTCCCAAATTTGACAAAATCTGAAATCCAAAAACACTTTTGGTCCTAAGCATTTCGGATAAGGGATGCTCAACCTGTACTATTTTAAATATAATACTATTTAAATATGGACCGAGTGCGGTGGCTAACGCCTGTCATCCCAACACTGTGGGAGGCTGGTGGATCACCTGAGGTCAGGAGTTCAAGACCAGCCTGGCCAATGTGGTGAAACCCTGTCTCTACTAAAAATACAAAAAAAAAAAAAAAATGAGTGAGGCGTGGTGGTGGGCGCCTGTAATCTCAGCTGCTTGGGAGGCTGAGGCAAGAGAATTGCTGGAGCTTGGGAGGCAGAGGTTGCAGTGAGCCGGGATCGTGCAGTTGCACTCCAGCCCAGAAAACAGTTAGACTCCATCTCAAAAAATAAAATAAAATAAAATGAGTAAATATAGTAATATAACTTTTTATTCATAAAAAACTTTTCAAAGGGGTAATTGTGTAGTAGTTGAGACTAATCATAACTTTGTTGTTGTTGTTGTTGCTGAGATGGAGTCTTGCTCTGTCTCACCTAGGCTGGAGTACAGTGGCGTGATCTCGGCTCAATGAAGCCTCCACCTCCCAAGTTCAAGAGATTCTCCTGTCTCAGCCTCCTGACTAGCTGGGACTACAGGTGTGTGCCACCATACCCAGCTAATTTTTGTATTTTTAGTAGAGACAGGGTTTCACCATGTTGGCCAGGCTGGTCTCAAACTTCTGACCACAGGTGATCCACTTTTCCTTGGCCTCCCAAAGTGCTGGAATTACAGGCGTGAGACACTACGCCCGGCTGAGACTAATCATAACTTTGAAATGATAATTCCTTTTAATGAAAATTGTATTTTAATTTTGTGTGTCTTTTTTTTCTTGAGAGGGTCTTGCTCTGTCACCCAGGCTGGAATTCAGTGGCATGATCACATCTCACTGTAGCCTTGACCTCCTGGGCTCATGCAGTCCTACTTCAGCCTCCTGATTAGCTGGGACCACAGGCCTGCACCACCACACCTGGCTAGTTATTTTTCATTTTTTGTAGAGATGGAGTCTCACAGTGTTGCCCAGGCTTGTCTCAGACATCTGGGCTCAAGTGATCCACCTGCTTCAGCCTCTCAAAATGTTGGGATTACAGTCATGAGCTACCAT